TTATTAAAAATTAATAAAAATTAAAAATACTGCATCTGATTTTTATGATTACATTTTTATAAAAAATTAATAATGTTTAATTTTTTAATAATAAATAATGATTGGCAGATTTTTATTAAAATATAATAAACTTTATTTTTTTAATTATAAATTCTATTTCTAATTTTATGAAACAGAATTTTTTATTTCAAATTTAACAAATCAGATCTAAATCTAAATTTGAATCAAATAAATTGAATTTGAATCCAAATCTAAATCCATCAGATTGAATCAAATTCAAATTTAAATCTGATCCAGATTTGATAGATTGAATCCAATCTAAATCCAAATTGGAATCTGATTCAAATCCAATAAATCTGATTCAATTTGATCTATTAGATTTGGATTAGAATCAGATTTTTTGTAAAATATTAATTCAATAGATATGATCTATTAGATTATTTAGCTATTGAATTTAAATAGATCTAATAAGACTGAAAAATCTTTATTATATACTTCTGTCACAGCTAAGGTTGTTAGGCGAAATCAAGTGTTTAAATAGATATTTAAATGTAAAAGTAAAACTTGATTAAATTATATTAAAATCTTATTAAAAAATCTGCGAAATTCAAAAAAAGGTAAAACTATATCAAAGCTTATAAAAATGATGAAACTATATCAAATATTTAATAAAAATTTAGCGAAACTAAAGGTTTAAATATTTAGCCAAATCCAAAATAAGTTTAGACAAGTAACCTTTAGTTATAGCAATTATATAATTTTAATCTTATGAATCAGATTTTTTATACTTAAGCAAATAAGTTTTACAAACATTTTAAAAAATTAAGAATAATGCAAATCATAGTTTATCAAGCACTATTATATCAAAAGTTTTATTTATTAAAAATTTTTTAAAAAAAAATCTAGTGAAGATAATGAATTGAAAAATTTATAAATTAAAATAATTTCATTATATATATTAAATGAATAGCTAAAAAACATACTTTTAAACCAAAATAATCATGAAATAAAATATTTTTTTTTTTTGTAAATTTGATTTATTATTTCAAAAAATTTATTAATATTTTGATTGAGGTTTTTTTTTATTAAAAAAGTTTATAGTAATATGAATCAAACCAATACTTGGTAATCTTTTTATAAATCAGAAGAAGTACAAAAATCACTGGATATCTTAAATAAAAATAATCATTCAAAATGTTTCTTCTAATAAAACATATTTTTTTTTATTAATTAAATTGCCTTCAGTATAATAAGTAAAGTTATTTATTATAATAAAATGTTCATATCTTTAAATTTATTTATAAATATAATTACTATTAAAATATATATGATGAAATGTATCAAAATTTTCATGTTTCTAATGCAAATTTTTAGCTATAATTAAACAAATATTTTTCAGTATTAATTTAGTTTGATTTGTTAAAAAACTTGTAAATATATTAAAAGTTATAATTCTCTAAATTTTTAGATTGTTCCTACTAATACATAAGAAGATTATCTTTTTAAAGACAAAATAAATTTTTATTATTAATTATTTAATAAAAATTATATATAATTTTTTTTATATTTAAGAAAGATGATCTTCTTATATATTAGTATTAGTATTTCGCAAAAAATCTGATTCAATCTGAATCTATTCTGAATGTGACAAATCAAATTGAATTAGATTCAGATCCAGATTTAGGTTTAATTCGATCTGTTAGATTTGAATCAGATTTATTTTAGATTTGATTCAATCTAACAGATTTAGGATTTAGATTTAAATTCAGATCTGATTTTTAAATTTGAAATAAAAAAATTTATCCTGAAAGTTAAAAACAGCATTTATAATTAAAAATAAAGTTTATTATTTTTTTAATAATAAAATCTATCCCAAAAGTCAAAGGCAGCATTTTTTGATAATAAGATCCATCCTGAAAGTCATATATGACATTTATTATTTTTAATAGAAAATGCTGCCTCAGACTTTTGGAACAGATTTTCTAATTAAAAAAATAAAGATTATAATTTTTTTAATAATAAAATCTGTTTCAAAATCAGAGGTAGCATTTTTTAATAATAAAATCCATCCCGATAGTCTAATGTGACATTTATTATTAAAAAATAGGTTTATTTTTTATTAATAGAAAATATTGCCTTTGATTATTGGGACAGATTTTATTATAAAAAAAAATAGGATTATTATTTTTTATCGCTAATTTCATAATTTGTGAACTACTAATAAATTGCGACTAAATACGACTGAAAATATTTTATAGTAAAATTACTATAAAATATTATGATTGAATGCGATTGAAAAATTATTAATAGTCTATGAATTATAAAATTAGTTGTAATAGAAAATGCTGCATTTGACTATCAGGACAGATTTTATTATTATAAAATGCGATCTCTGACTTTCAGGATGGATTTTATTATTAAAAAAATAATATGTATAGGCAGCTTATATTATTTAAAAACCTAAAATTTTTTTGATCCTTCAGATACAGATTCAGATTCAGATATAGATTCAAATTTGGATATGGATTTAGATTCAGATTTGTCAGATTTGAATCAAATCAGATTTGAATTTGTCAGATTACGATTTGTCAGATTTAGCTCAAATCAAACTTTGCTCAAATCTGATCTGATCCAATCTGTGCGAAATACTAATTAGTGGGATTGATCTGAAAATTTAGAGAATTATGGCTTTTAATATGATCTAAAATTTACTTAACAAATCAAAGTAAATTATGACCGAAAATTTTTGTTTGATTATAGCTGAAAATTTGTATTAAAAACATGAAAATTTGAATACATTTCATCATAAATATTTTAATAGTAATTATATTTATATACAAATTTAAAGATATGAACATTTATTATAATGAATAACTTTACTTATTACATTAAAAGCAGTTTAATTACAGTAATAAAAAAAATGTTTTATGAGAAGAAACATTTTGGATGATCATTTTTATTTTAAGATGTCCTGTGATTTTTGTATCCCCTCTGTATATGTATGAATGCGAATTTAATCCTTAAGCGGTAACCAATTTTTTGTGAATAATAAAAGCCCTAATTCGAATCTATGATAAGTCAGCCACATTTTTTAAATTTAAAGTATATCGATTGTTGTTGTGATGGGGCATATAGTAAATATTTCCCGGATTCATTCCCAACCTGAATTGTAGTATCTACCGACTTTTATCTATTTATTAATTATTGATTAAAAAAAAGTGACTAATCAGGATGGTACCCAATTGATCAGCATTCGAAGACAAAATGATCCAAATCGGCTAAAATCAGATGGATTTATGTCTAATTCTGATTGGTAAAATCAGCCTTTAAGCCAAATTAATAGATTTAACAATAATAATGATAATAAAAACAAATGATGTCTTTATATCCAATTTGAAATTCAAACGGTTGAAATATATTAATTATATTTTTCATAAAATAAAAAATAATGGACAAATTACAAATTTCTTTAAAACAAAATGAAAATTTTTAACATCACTCGTTCTAATTATTCGCGATTATTGTAATGAAATTAAATATCGTGAATTCTTTTTTATCCAAAGTTAGCTTTGATGTTCAACGTCACACTAAATCAGTGGCTTAGAGGTGTAATGTACATGATGTACCAAGTGCATTTTTTTCTGCATTTTTTTTCTCCAAGAAGAAATTTAATCATTTCGCTATATCCAAAACCAAAATGCAAGCTGACAATACTTCGAATGAGTGGACTAATTGGATTGAAGAAGCTACCTCAAGTAAACTTATCAAATTTTATGAATACAAATATTTTAGTAATATTCAAGAGGTCGGTAATGGCAGCTTTGGAAAAGTCTATCGAGCAAACTGGAAAGGTTTAAAACAACATCTCGCGTTAAAATCCTTTCATAATTTTAGCAATTCTACCATGAAAGAACTTATTCGTGAGGTAATTACAAATTAAACATGTATTTCTGTCTTTTTGTTATACTTCAAAATAACATTTTAAATTTCGCTATATTTTAAGCTTGAACTTCAACGTGAAGTGGATTTTCATGAAAATATAATCCGATTTTTTGGGATTACTTCAAAACAGGGTATAAAGTCCTCATATTATAACGACTTTTTATTATTATTATTATATATATGTATATATATTTTTTGAGCTCGTTGGTTTATTCATATATATTTATATAAAAAATATTTTTTTTTAAAAAAAAAAAAATTAAAAATTTAGAAAATCAAGATGATCAATTGAAAAGGTATTGGTTAGTAATGGAATATGCTGATGGCGGAGCGCTTAAAAGCTATTTGAAGGAGAATTTTCTTCATCTTGAGTGGGATGATAAATACAAATTGGCGTACCAGTTAGCTTGCGCTGTGTCATGTTTACATAACGAAGGAATTGTGCATCGTGATTTGGTAAACTTTCATATTGTGTATCTTATTCTTTTTATTATGTACCTTGACGTTAATAATTAATATAATGTATATACAAATAGCATTCCGGAAATATATTAATTCGCCAAGGCGTTATTAAACTAGCTGATTTTGGATTATCGAAAAGGATTGAGGCGGCAACTAATCAACAGTCAAAATTATTTGGAATAATTCCATACATTGATCCAAAAAGGTTTGCTAGGCGAAATAGAAGAGACAGTACATCGCAACAATACATGCTAACCGATAAGAGTGACGTATACAGTGTTGGCGTGCTCTTTTGGGAAATATCCAGCGGTTGTCCACCTTTTTATGTTGAAGGGGAACAATACGACATTGATCTAGCTGTTGATATTTCGCAAGGACTTAGAGAAAAGGTCGTTCCTGGTACACCTGAAGAATATGTGAATATTTATACCGGTAAATATGTTATTATAAATTTAATGATAATTTTATAAACATAAATGCTTTTAAGTTTATTAAATTTTATATGAATTTTAGAGTGCTGGCAAAATGAGCCAGATAATCGTCCGACCATGAGTCAAGTAGTTGATCAATTAAGTTCAATTATCACGAAATCGAAAATGACAGTGAATGAACAAATGAATTTTGATGATAAAATTGATGATAAAACAAGCCCTCAATTATCAGTACAACATCATTATTCGAATAATGTTTATGCTTCTACTAGTATTGATAATTCATTGCATGGGGAACTATCTCAACTCTCGAATAGTGATAATGTGTCTTCTAGTATTAATAACTCGATGCAGGGAGATTTGTCTCGATTGATTCAAAATTTTGATCAGATTAATGTTGAAGAATCAGGATCTGAAGAATCGAATGAAGATATACCGAATATTACTTATGATGATACCATTAAATGTTTAACGATTTACAAGTTTAATAAGGATGACATCTTAAACACCGCAGGGGGATTACAAAGATATCGAAAATTAACAATACTTCAATTAGAATATACTGAAATAACTAGTTTACCCACTTTACCAAACTCACTCAAAGAACTCCGTTGCTCTTCTACCGAATTAACTAGTTTGCCAGATTTACCAAACTCCTTATCACAACTCTTTTGCAATGATACTAAAATAGTTTGCTTACCAAATTTGCCTAATTCCTTAACTTGTCTCAACTGTTACGATACTCAAATCGCGAGCTTACCAAATTTACCAAACTCCTTGACAGAACTTCGTTGCTATTTAACTCGAATCACCAGTATACCAAATTTACCCAAATTCTTAACATATCTCAGCTGTTACGAAACTCGAATAACGAGCTTACCAACATTACCAAACTCCTTAACAGAACTGTATTGCTATAATACACCGATGACCAGTTTACCAGCTTTACCTAAATTCTTAAACAAACTATACTGTTATAATACTAAAATAACTAGTTTATCAAATTTACCAAATTCCTTAACAGAACTCCGGTGTCATAAAACTCCTATAGCTAGCCTGCCAACATTACCAAACTCCTTAACAACCCTCAACTGCTCTTATACCTCAATAACTAGCTTGTTGATTTTACCTAACTCTTTAACTTATCTCAACTGTTCCAATACTCGAATAACCGGCCTACAAAGTTTACCTAACTCCTTGAAAGAACTCCACTGTAACCATACTCAAATAAATAGCTTAACAACTTTACCTAACTCCTTAACTGTACTTGAATGCAATAATACTCCAATTTCTACCTTACCAATTTTACCTAATTCCCTAAGAAATCTCGACTGTAACAATACTCGAATAACTCGTTTACCCAATTTACCCAATTCATTAACGTATGTCAGACCTGAATCTTTAAAACTCAATAATATAGTAACTAGCTCACTAAATTTATCTAACTTCTCTAACTTCTGAACACTTATTACCTTATACCTTTCTTATTATAAACATTCTTACTTACTATTATTATTAGGATAATTACGATTATTGTTATTATTTTTTTTGTTAATAATAAAAATATATTTTATCAAAGATTCAATATTTTTGCAACTTGTCAATTTCTTTTCCTTGTAAATGATCCTTTGAATGTTTCATTGCTTAAAAAATGCTTAAAATGAATCACACCTCACAACAACGAACTATTTAAATTTAAATCTTTGTTCGAATAAGAAAAAGTAGAATTCGATGTTATCAAAATAAATAAATAGATAATAAAGCATTCATTCTTTCTTTTAACCCTTTAACCATTCTTCCAAACTGGATAAATAACCTGGATAAATTTGTAAATCTACTGTAAAACAACTTACGATATGAAATTTATTATAACACGATTTCATTATTCGTAGACTACCATATTTGCGAAATTAATTATAACCAGCCATGTTGGTATTATAATCTTTTAAATTTCTTTATGCTTGGTACCGTAACTGATATAAAGAACGTCTTCTTAACGAGGTGGTGTAAAACGGCACTTGACGAGAAACTTATATTATGAGCAATGAGTTTATTTTTTAGCTATAGAACGACTCAAAACAAATTTCTAATCCAATACAAATAATCTTGGTGATCATGGAATCGGGAAACTGTATCATATATGTTCTGTTCCCACTAATTTCAATGAAACAAATTTTTTTTCACAGGACTTCTTATGCGAAAGATATTAAGCGAAACTAACCGTAAATCATATAATTATGACTTGGGTGTTTCGTTTAGCCTTTTTATTTTTTATTTTTTTGCAGATAAACACAAATGGGAGAGAGTTTCAGAGCAAATCAATGATTATCTTTTTGTTAACAATCTATCAACACACACATTAATACCAATCACTTTCAATTACCCCCAGAAAATACTGTAAATATGGCAATGACAGCAGATCAATTCAATGCTTTGATAACTCAAATGACCACTAATATTTCACCTGTGGCAGGAGGTTCAATATTTAAAATCGATTCTTATTATGGAAAAGATAGTGAAGATGTTCAAGAATAGATTGAAATTTTCTTAAGAGCCCAAGCAGCAAATGCATAGCCAGACAATAGAAGAGTAGCCATTACAGCATGAATGCTGAGAGGCGAAGCAGCTGACTGATACAATTTAGTAAATGCAGAAATTAATCAATAGGATAGACATGCTACAGAAAAAGATTTTTAGCTTTTCTTATCTCAAGAAAAGTTATACATGTGGTAATATGAATTAATGAATCTGAAGTAAGGAGGAGATAAAGTTGAAACTTATGCTATAGTAGATGTAGGAGAAATCCTGGATGCCTTCAAAGTGCAAATATTTTTAAATGGATTAAACAAAGAGTTAGCAACATTAGTAACGATACAAAATCCTAACACATTAGATGCTATCATTACTTAAGCTAAAACAGTTAAAGCTGAAAATTATTATGCTACAGAATATGATTTTAGTATTGAAAAGTTAATAAAACAATTTGAACAAATGGCTTTAAATCAAGTAAATATTATGTCAGCTTTAATGACTAATCCTACAGAAAGAAAGAAATCAAACTTTGAAAGAAGCTTTAAAAAAAGAGAAGTTATTTGTTTCAGATATGAAGAAAAATAACACTTTGCACGAAGATGTCTTTTAAATAAGTTATACCTTAAGAAAATTATTGTATAAAGAATAATAATCCAAACAAAAAAGAAGTAAATATGCTTGAATAAAAAGTTTCTTAGCAATCAGAAGAAAAAGGTTTGAATCTCAAAGAGAAATAACAATTAGAAGAATTAGAATTACACCAAAGGAATTTATGGAAATTAGTAAAAGAAACTCCTCAAACTATTATTAATAATATAAGTAATCCAAAGAAAAGAATACCAAGAAGACTATTTATCTTGAATAATATTGAACCATACAATATTTGAAATAATTTTATAAACATAAAAGCTAATATTAATTTTGGACAAATAATATAGAAAATAACAAAGAAAACTTTTGCAAGAAATGAGAAAACTAAAGTTAGAAGGAAATATAATACAAACAAATTCTAAAGAAAAGATTATGGCCTTAAGAGGCCAAGTTAAAATCAAAAGAAATTCTGTAATAGCAATCATCAATACTGGAACTTCAATCAGAATTATGACTAAAAGGTTAATAAAGAAACTTGGGTTAACTATTTAGAAAGCATCACAAGTAATCATTATTATAGCAAATGAATAAAGAAAAAAAGCATTAGAAGTAATCAAAAATATATCTTGTTATTCATGGAATTCTAATCAAAATACTTTTTAAGTTATTAAATCAATAGACAAATTTTATTATTAGGAATTAACTGATACAAGAAAAATAAAGTCAATGTAGATTTTAATAATAATAAAATGATTATTACAAGTTGTCTTAACAAAGTTATAGTGGTGGTAAAAAGTAATGTATTACCAAAATGAAAAATGTAAAATGTTGATCATTTATAACACAGTGATTATATGATACAAATTCTATTTTAATAAATTCATCATACCTTATTTTATTAATCTCATCCATTTTTTTTCATTTATCGTATAAAATCTACTTGCTGTATGTAAAAATTTTTAACACATGCAATCCTTTTCTTTTGACTATTTTATGAAATTAACTTTCAAAATAATAATATTTTTTGTTATTTCAAAACAATCATAAAAATATATAAAAAAATATTTTATAGCATATCCCTTCCTTTTTAATTTTATAAATGTATTATAGGTTATTTACCTACCAAAAAAAAGTCTAGGATTTATGCTTTTCTTGAAGAGAATTATCCTTTTTGATATGTAACAAATAAAGAAAAAGTTTCTCAGTCAACTGTTATAAGAATCAAAAGTGTAAAAACACCACTGACACCTTCAAAAATAAATCTAAATCTGAATATCCAAGACCCTTAATAAGATGAAATGAGTGAAAAACTTTGTGATATATTATAACAAAAAAGTTTACTAATACAATTACTATTCAAAAAAACTTAAAAATTAAAGAATAAATGGAAGTTAATGAAAATACAGTGAAAATAACATTACATCAAAATGGATAAATAAGAGAGTTAAGCATAAAAAATCATCTTAAAAAAACACATAAAATTGCTCATATGAAATTTGCTAAAAAATATTGATTATGAATACCAGAAAATTGAAGCAAAAATATTTGGTCAGATAAGTTAAAGTTTATAATATAAAGATCAGATGGCAGAGAATATTGTTGGAAAAATTCAGAAAAATCTTTAAGAGATCACTATATCAAACTTACAGTAAAATTTGAATAAGATAATATTATGGTATAAAGATGTTTTATATCTAATAACATTGGTAACATATATCAAATTTATGGTTATATGAATGGTGATTTATATCATCAGATCCTAAAGAAAGACTTATTAGGAACCATTGAGTGACATGGGATAGATAAAAATAATATTATCTTCTAATAAGATAATAATCCAAAACATACTGCATACCTTATAAAACAATAGTTTGATTGATACGCATAATCACCTAATCTCAATTCAATCGAATATCTTTGAAATAAAATAGATCATCATTTAAGAATTTAAAAACACCTGTTAAAATATAGGATCAAGTATGAGATGCAATTAAATAAATCTGGGTTGAATTAAAGAATAATGTGTATAAAAAGTTAATTGATATCATATCAGCTTATATAAATAATGATATTAGAGCAAATGAAGGTTATATAAGGTGGTAAACTTTATTTATCAAAATTTGTGTATTTGAGAATTTTTTTTGAAGATTTTATTATATAAATAAAATATTTTTATAATGATATAAGCATTATATCGCAAATAATCATCATTTTATATTTTATATTTTAGCGATATATTACTAATAATAATGCTAAGAAAAGAGAAAATTATCATATTAAAACAGAAAACTATTAAAATGATTCTGATAATGAAAATGAAATTCCATCTTAGTCTTTGACAAATAAAGTTGAATTATATGAGAAAAAAACCTTATAATAATAAATTAAAGTCCTTAAGTATGTATTAAATATTCTATATAATTAAGATAGTGTATTCTTTTATGATTTTTTCTTCTCTGATAGATAAGAAATGTGGTAAATCCCAGGTAATATCTCTATAATAAAATAGTTAACTTGAGTTAGAAGAACTAATGTATTCAACATAATATTGATAAAAAATGCTAATTTAATTAAAAGAAATTATAATTGTCTGACTAAGATTTTATTAATGGAGAAATCAAAAGGATGATACAAGAAGAAATTATTTAGGAATCTGACAGTTCATAAGCATCACCTGCTATTCTTATGAAAAAAGTAATGGAAAAAATATCTATATATCAATTACAAAGGATTGAATAAACTCACATGAAAAGATGCTTACCCATTATCAAGCATTTATAGAATTTAAAAAACTTAAATGAAGTAAAATGGTTTTCAAAATTTGATTTAGTAAGTGAATTTTATCAAATAAAAATGGATCCAAAAAAAAAAAAAAAAAACAGCCTTTATAAATAAAAGTGAACATTATGAATGTAATATAATGCCTTTCGGATTATATAATACATCTGCAACCTTTTAAAAAATAATGAATAAAGTTGTAAAAGAATATATTGACTGAGTTATAACACTATTCATTAATAATATTATTGTTTATTTTAATAATTTTAAAGAATATTACAAACATTTTCAAATATTCTTTAACAAATTAAAAATAGTAAACTTAACATTAAATAAAAAAAGATGTGAAATATTTAAAAAAGAATTATAATTCTTAGAACATAAAATTAATAAATATAGAATCCAACCTGATTTAAAAAAGATAGATAATATTCAGAATTTTTTTACTCCAAAAAATGTTAGATAAGTCAAAAGGTTTCTTAAACTTATTATAATATATTACATATTTATATAATTAATTTAAAAATTTTTTTTTTAAAAATATTAATTAAATTATTTATAAAAGCAAATCAAAAGAGAATTTATAATAAAATATAGGGCAAAAAGGGGGGTCTGGGACAGATTTCAAGTATACCTCCAAATCCACCTACGAACCCAGTTTGCTATATGATTTCCAATATCAAATTCAAAGCTTTAGCGCTTTTTTGACTCAAATATAGATA